ACAACTCGCAATCACACCAATCTTCACAAATCTTGCAATCACAATCATCACCAATCTTACTATGTCAAGGTCACGCTACCCTTTTAGTAGCCTAAGGCCGTGCTCACCCCTGACATAACATTGTTTCAAGCTCACGCTACCCTTTTAACAGTCTAGGGTCGTGCTCACCCCTGGTCATCAGTATGAGGAACCACAATCACATCACAATCACAATCACAATCACATTAATCCATCACAAATCTTACAATTAATCCTATGCCAAGGTCACGCCTGTAGCATCTCTTGCTCGAGGTCGTGCCTCCCCCGACATAAGCATTAATTGCCTCACACATCCCACCCTATGCCAAGGTCAAGCCTGTAGCATCTCTTGCCCAAGGTCATGCCACCCCCGACATAAGCATGAGAAATCACACATCCTACACTGTGCCAAGGTCACGCCTGCAACATCTCTTGCTCGAGGTCGTGCCACCCCCGACATAAGCATGAGGAATCACCTATCCCATACTATGCCAAAGTCACGCTTGTAGCATTTCTTGCCTAAGGTCGTGCCACCCCTAGTCACAAGTGTGAGGAACCAGAATCACATTCTCATTCACATCCACATCCACATCCACATCCACATCCATATCCACATATCAATTCCACAATACATACACAATCCACACAAAATGGTGGTTCACATACCCCTCAAATAATTCACCATGAATCCTCATCTAGATCATCATTTTTATCAAATAATATAACAATAACATTCATAAATTAATATAATAATCAATAGATTTAGCAATTTAATACAATCTTAACATAAATAGTAAAACCCCCAATTGTTCCAAAACCTAGCTCACAGACACTTTTCTACAATTTCGTTCTCTCTCCTAGATCAGCATTCTTACAAATTGAATATATATTTCTAATCCTCAACACATACAGAATCTAATGGTATCATTAATTCCTCAAATAGAAATAATCCAATTTTTCCAAAACCTAACTTACAGGCACTTTTCTATAATTTCATTCTCTCTCCCAGAGCATCATTTTTACAAATAAATCATATATTCATAGTCCTAAATACATTCAGAATCACATCAGATCAATAATTCTCCAAACAGAAATAATTATAAAATTACTCATAATCCTAAGGGTTCTTCTCTACCCAATTCCCTCATGTAACTCTATATATAAATAATCCCCTTTTCCTCGTACCTTGATATGAAGTTGAACCTACACAAGATCTGGTTGGTCTCCCTCGCTGGGTTCCCCTCGGTCTGAAGCAGAAAGTAGAGGAAAGAAGAGAGAGCAAAAGAAAAGAAATTAGAAAATGAGAAGCATGCCTTTTTGGGAGTGGCAGAGAGCTCAATTTATAGGCATCAGGCTTCGCCGGAACGGCCCGTTCCAAATCCGAAATGGCCCGTTCTGAACCCTTAAATCATGACTAAAAAATCACATCCAGAACGTCCCGTTCTCAAACCAGAACGGCCCGTTCTGGGGTGCATTTAATACTCACAACGGTCATATTTTGGAACGGCCCGTTCTCACCTCTGGAACGGCCCGTTCTCACCTCTGGAACGACCCGTTCTCAAAGAATCGTAGGCAAATTTAATAGTTTGAAACGGCCCGTTCCGGGCTACCTAAAGTAGGTCTATTTAGTAATTTGGAACGGGCCGTTCCGGGCTACTAAACCACCTTAATTGGGCTCTTGGCCCGGTGAAAATTGGGTTGTTACATATAATCAAATAATTTTACTAATAGATTAACAATAAATGATATAATAAAAATTTATGTATGATAATTTAAATTTAAAATATTTTTTAAAACAACAAAACTAAAGCAAATGTATCGTTCACCTTACCATAAACACAACTTCATTATTATAGTTTACTAAAATTTGAATCAAGAAAATAATGTTGATTTAGTGTATGAATGATTAATATGTTAACAACAAAAATTGTGAAGGAACTTGACAACTTCTATTTTCCTTGTGGGTCACTTATATTTTTCCTCGAGTCTCACTATGCAGCAAAAGTAGATGGAAAACTAATACTAATCTTTGAAACTAATTAAATTAGAAAGGAAGACAAATTCATTTATAATTCACTTAAAAAAAATAATCTTGAATATGATAGATTTTTTAGAATTGAAGCTCACCTTCACAGCAGTAAAATAGGTGATTCAAATGGTGTGTAAATCATGTAGTGGACACCTTCCTATAATAAAAAGTCTATACACTAGAACATAGTAAATCTTAGTTTTCTTGATTCTATTTAATCATATTATTTTGTTCTAATCATACTATTGCCAAATCCTTATCAAAATGAATCAAAAAAACACATAGCCCGTTGCACATCAATAAATTAGAAAAGACTTCAAATATAAACTTCAACTAAGTGCTCTGTAACAATAGTCATTTTACATTTATTTTATGAAATAGTAAAAAAACACCAAATTTACTAAGAACTATTACAACTTCAAAATAAAACAACATCAAGTCTAAGTATTATCTATGTTGGACCTCAACGAAAATAAACAAAACTAAACCCCAAAAAAAAATAAAAACATAAAAAAAAAATAAACACCAGAAACCTTCATAATATGCACACTCAAAGGTTAAAGGGTGCGATAAAATTGAATTAACAGGACATGAATCTAACTGTCAGATTAAGCTCCATTGAAATTTTAAAAACAAAGCCACATATCTTATCTTTATCAATTTTACATATGATTTTTGTTTAATGGAATAACCAAATGAACACTAAATAGCAATCATATTAAATTAACATCTAATATACAAATGCACATAAGCCATATTTAATACCAAACATTTTAAGTCTCTACAGCAGTTATGCATGTTCAAAAAATTGATTCAGAATAAGCCATTGTTTATCAATTTGGCTGGCTTACATTCTAGCATTCAAATAAAATATTAATTTATAATAAATAAATTATTAATTGAAAATATTCATCAATAAAGGAAAAAAATTATTTAATAAAGTCTCATGAAGCATGAGTTTAAAAATGCATACAAATTATTCTCAACCTAACCCATAATCACAATGTACTTTATTTTTTATCATTACAAAGACTTCTTGGCAAAGGCTTTAACACACGCCTCTGTTTCTAATGTTAACATATATCATCTTTGTCCCTTTATGCCTAAAGCCACGCTAATTTCTTTAACCCAAAAGCAAAATAAATCTCGATAGGAAACTTGTGCTTCTACATGTTTCATTTTTCTAAAATTATTTTTTTCCTTCTGATTTCTCCAAAATTAATTAAACGTTTAACAAAACAAACTATTAATATAACCCATTAATTTTTTACGAAGACTCCTAGGTCGCACGCTAGTAGGTGGCATCACTGGCTACTCAAACACTAGCTACACGACCACAAATTTGCGGCGGGTGCTCATCAATGGCTACGCAAATAGCCCAAGGCATATATGCCAGTAACGAGCATAAGCACATATACGTAGCTATCCAAAGAACCTTTTTTCTTTGATTCAAAAATTAAAAAGAGAGAAAAAATAATGAATGTTAATTGAAAACTTACATGTACTCAGGCGTGTTACGTGAGAGCAAGGTAATAAAGCTTGAGACCCTATGGTGGTGAATGCAAAGGGAGAACGGTGAAATGGTGAAAAAGAAACTTAAGAGGGGAAATTTTCTGAAGTGAAAATGTTTTAGGGTTACAAAGTGAAAGGGGGAACCAAAATAAACAAGCGGGAGGTAAAACAAATGTATAAATTAATATTATGAAATTATAAATAAAAGGTAATTTAAAAAATGGCAGTTAAAAGTTCACTTTTTAGAAGAATTATAAGCAGCTTGAAAAATGGCAGTTTTAAATGCCACAATTTACATGTATATTACGACGCTGCTAAAAATTCCATAATATACGGTTTAATTAAACCGCCACTTTAAAACCGCCATTTTCTACGCATTTTTTTGTAGTGAAATCGTGTCTCATAATTAAAATAGAACTCATATAACTAATTAAATAATATCCAAAACTCTAAAATAAATACATTAAGCATGAAAATAATTTCTAAAATACTATTTATTATAAGATATGAAATTCAGGATATTACAATAAATATACAATTCCATCATTTGTTTGGATTTGCCTTATGTCTAATTTTTTTTAGGATAGTACCTTTGGTCTTATTTGACTGTTGTCTTATTTTGTAGATGCATCTGCCAATTATGTGTCCAAATTTTTCACAAAAGTTACAACTAGTTGAATAAAACATGGAAGGGAAAAGTTTCTTATCATTTCTCTTATATAACCTAACGATGTCATATTTTCTATATGGTGGTTTTCAAAATTTCAAAAACATTTATTGAAGCTATGATACATTAAACTCAACTAATATTAACTAATTTGATATATTTATTTTAGAGTTAATTATCTATATACTGCCGGTGTAAAGTTTTTTTACATTGGCAACCAAATATATCTTTTAATTGTGTCATGTCACTGTTAAAAGTAAATGTATTTATATTGACATCACAATTAAAAGATATAATTGGTGTCAGTATAAAAAAAAACTTTACACTAACAGTATATAGCTAATTAACTCTTTATTTTATTTCAATCACTTTATTTAATAAGACTAATACATTTTTTTACCGATAACATGTTACAAAAGAACAACAGAAAGATTTAACTATAACTTGGTTGTAGCTTTTTCATCGATTACAATAAAACTAATGCATCAGCAATTATATCTTAACACATAACAACTGTTAAAATTGAACGAGCTTAATTTTGGGAGAAGTGTTCAATAGGAATTAAGAGAATGACGAATCCCCCTCCACCACCGCCCCTCCATAACCCGCAACCGATAGTTCAACCAATACAGCCACCCCCCCCAACTTGGTCCCATCCTTCATCACCCTCCAACCTTTCTACCTATACCTGCTCAACCTGGCCCTTCCATTCAACACCCTACAACCTTCCTACCTTCCGTAATACCTCTTCAATCTTTCTATAATCCATATCCTATGGGAGGATATTGTCATGAAATTCCTGTTGGTTTGTACGAGCAGCAGTCACACAAAATGCCAACTAAGTACCAGCCCACAACATCCCAACCCCCAAAATACCATACATATTCCTCTGTTCTTACCCACAATATTCAACCTCAAACCCATCACGAAAATTTCATGCCACAAAGCATAACAAACGAAGCGGAACGATACAAGGTGGAGAGAATCAACCACAAAGGAAAGATGCTCCTCTACAACAATAACAAGACAACATCTCGTATATTGGGCAAACCAAAAGAGAAGGGGCTAGACATTACAACATTCTTTTTCTCAGGTTTCCCCGACAAGTACACAAATGTGGATCTATGGAAACTCTTTCAAAGATGGGGTCAGGTAAGGGAAGTTTATGTTCTTGCAAAAAGGGATAGATATGGAAAACGATTTGGGTTTGTTAGGTTTTCTAAAGTTGAAAATATACATCAATTAGGAAGAGTCTTAGACCAAATAGAAATTGAAGGGAAAAAATTAAGCGTCAACATTCCAAGATATAATAGGAAGCAATCAGTGAGTGGTGAGGAAGAGGGTAGAATGAATCAGGGGAATAGAGTAGTGAACCCATACCCAAAGAGACATAGTAAAGAATTCATTGATGATAGGAGGAAGCCTAAAAACAAAAAAGACCATAGACTCCCCCATAGAGAACATAGAGAGTGGAACCAATTTGGTCACTCACCCGTGTGGTGTAATTGGGCTTTACAATACTCAACATTTGTTGAGGATGAACCATTGTTAAACAAATGTTTTGTAGGGAAGGTCACTGACCATACATTAGAAAGCTCTATTCAAAATATCCTCAATGATGAAGGTCTCTTTACGGTCAACAGTATCCCTATAGGTGACAACTGGGTGTTGCTAGCCCCTCGTGGGGTGGATGACATCACTGAACACCTACAAGAGTTAAGTGAATGGCTTGGGACTTACTTTGAGATTCTAATCCCCTGGAGCCCGGAGTTTGTAGTTGGAAATAGAGTAACATGGGTAAAGTGTGTAGGGATTCCTATCTTAGCTTGGAAGGAAGACTTATTTAAGAAGATAGGTTACCTGATGGGATCCTTCATTAAAATCGATGAAAGCACCAAAAATAGAAGCAATATGAGTGAGGCTCATATTTGCATCAGTACTGCGATTATGCATTTGATTGAAGGTTGCTTACAATTAGATTTCAACGGTAAGACGCATGTCATTAGGATTGTAGAAACTCATTGTGGCTATGAAAAAAAAGAGTGTTCATGCCCTTGCAAGGAAGAATGGGTGGAATCAGTCTCAGAATCCTCCTAAGTACACTTCCTTTGGATGAGATGTCCGACGGAGACTCGTCAGTATCCTCTCTAGTGGTGAAATTCCAAAACTCAAAATCTGGATGGGAAGTGGATTTGGAATTGACTAATGATAAGATAGGGAAAAAAGACTGATAAGTATAAGGCACTGTTGGAAAAAAGGGTACAAAGTTACACAAGAAAAAAGTCTACAGAATATAAACAAACCTAAAGAAAAGGTGAGGTAACCCCTACGCAGGAAAAAAATCAGAGTGTAGTTGAGAGGAATGACAAGGGGTGTGAGAGGAGGGGCAAGCATAGGCAGCCTTACCTTAATTATCCAGGTGTTACGAATACAAATGGAAGCCATACAACTCTATCAAGATTTGCATCTGAACCCAATATTTACAATCTCTCCGCCTCACATATTCAATCATCCAACCAGATTGTACCTCCTGATGGGGTTATCCACTACCAACATTCACTACCACCCTCGCCGACCCACCCTCCTGGTTTTTCATCCCCAGCTTTCAAACCCCATTCTCCGTTTGGTGAAGGTGTTTCTAGGATAGGGGGCCAAATTTCAAAAATGTTTGATGTTTCTCAAACCAAAAATGATGTTGATGAATTCTGGGAAGGATTGGAAAGCGAAAATGATCAAGAAGATTCATCATTCTGGGTGCATAACCAAAGGGGATGGAACAATAAAAACAAAGAAAAAAAATAAGAAACAGAAGAGTAAAGGACTCACAACCAAAAAAAGGAAAAAGGTAGTGATTAAAAAGGAAAAACCTAATAGTAAGGTGACATACCCATCCCCCTCTCTCTGTCATATTTGTTATCAGGTAGTATGTAACTGCAATAACCAATCTGATAAGAATCATATAATAGAAAATGAGGCTAACATCTATACCTGGCATGTCGGCACTGGACCATGCAAAGAGGTTGGCGTTCTTGGAGATTTCAGCTTTGAGCTGTCGTCGTAACTCTAGGTTTAGCTGCCTGCTGATTTTCGTGCATTACCTAGGAAGCTTTCTGATCTGGAAGTCATCGAGCTCGTCGATGGGACTTGGCCGTTCATCATGGGAGTCTAACCTCAGATCCAGGTCATTGATATCCACGTGGGTGATGTGAGCCACTGTGGGGGGATCACTTCGGCAACGCTCGTCGGATGAAGAGACTTTCAGACTTTCGGCATAACACTACCGAGCTGTCTTCTAGTTTGCCTTGATAGAGATAATCTTGCCATCACTCCCTGGAAATTTCATAGTGAGGTGCGGGGTAGACACCACTGCTCCGGACCCGGGCCGGTGTGCCAGCGAGGGCGCTGGACTCCCTTGAGGGGGGTGGATTGTGAAGTCCCACATCGGTTAGGAAGGAGAACGAAGCATGCCATATATATGAGTGTGGATACCTTCCTTGTGTGGACGCGTTTTGGGGTGGCATGCGTGCCATTGCCAGAAGCAAAACCGTGAGGGCAGCGGCCAAAGCGGACAATATCCACATGCGGGTTGCTGGGATGTTACACATACATCAAATAATCTTGTGTAAATTCCTTGATTTTACCAAAGTAACTTATAGAAAGTCTTTCTAAGTTACCTAGATAAATTCTTTGTCTAAAAGTGTTCCCATTATTGACAGATTAGGCAGTAAAAATGCTTTGTATAATACTACAAAAATTGTAGATATTTGGTCCTAGGTCAATTAGATTTATCTTAACATGGTCAGGAAAGGTTTGTTTGAAAGATTCCCAGCAAGCTTTAGCAATATCTCCAATATACGTTTCAGCACTGGCTATCATTTCTTGACTATTAGAAACATGGTTTTCATGGTGGATTATATAGTCACGTATAATAGTAGAAGTCCACTTTTCTATGTAATTAGACAAGAGTTGGGGGTCAACACTTCCTATATTTAACAAAAGAGAGGGCATATTGAAATTAGGTTTAATAGGCAGTCTCTTTCCTTTAGATTTTATGTTATCTCCTATAGAAAAATCTGCAGGAGTAACGACCTTTTCTCTAGGAATGAATCCTAAATCATATGTTTCTGAGCTATAGACAAAATGGTGAATCTGGTTTGGAACACTGATGCTACCATTGTAACTATCTCCCATGAAACCTTTGTAAGAATGTATGGAGGACTGTGTTTCTGAAATTTCAGAGAATGATTATGATATTTCATATTGTATTTCTATTTTGTCCAGATGTAATTTGTTTTTAAAATCTAATTCATTGTCATACCATTTACCAAGATTTATTTCTAGAATCTCATCTAGGTCATGGTTTTGCTTATCTTCACAAATTTCATTACTAATTTGTGAAAATAATTTTTGCTTGAAGATGAAGTCATTTTCCTCTTCTTCAGAGTCTTCTTCTTCATTTTTGTAACCTTGGGAAAAAATTTCAACCTGTTGTTTTTGTTTTTCCCATTTTTCTACAGCTAGGAGTAATTTGTGTGAGAGTTGACATTCCCCTAGTAAACTCTCATCATTTTTCTCTTGTTCATAATTTGGAATATAAGATTCAAAATATGAACCACACCATAAATTCATAAGAGATTTTCTGGGAGGTTCTTCCTCTTCTTCATCTCTATCAGGAGTTTGTATATTCTTATAATCAGTGAATCTGATTGAGAGACTATTTCTCTTATTTATCATTATGGCAGTTTGTGGTGTTGTTATAGATGTTCTGGAAGAGCCATAATTGAGGTGTGTTTGTCATTCAATGCCTTGATAACATCTAATCGACGATATCTGTATAAACTAGTTTTATCAGAACTTAGCCAATTTAGATTGTAAAGTTGTCTAGGATTAAGGGAATCTATCCTAGCATTTGTTCCAATGTCTATATTAGATTGGATGTCTACTATTTCTTCTAGTTGTCTAGTAGTAGAATTTGTTCTTCTAAAGAACCTATCTAGGATCCCTGGTAGTTGGTTTATTGCTTCAGCAATAGGTGTATGACCTGAAAGGGTTTGTGAGGTTCCTATAAAAGGAAGAGTTTGTGTTCTAATGTTCATTTTCTTGGCTTGGCAAGAATGAATTTGTTAGAACTTTGTGTGGAAGGGATACTAGTCCCTAGTGAAAGTTTAGAGAGTTGGTTGGAGATTCTATCTAGTTATCCATTTATTGGGTAGATATAGTCTTTATAAGCTCAAAATCTTTGTATAGTTTTTCTTCCAAATTCTTAATCCTATTAAGGATGAGATTTTGGGTTTTATGAATGCTTTCTATGTTTGCAGAAAGCTCTTTTAAATCTCTTTTAGTGGCCAGATCTTTCCTACAATAACTCATGTTCTACATCAAATTTCAACGATCCAACCATTCAATTTAAAGTTCTTAATGCATAGATCAAATCTGCAAATTTTTAGAAAATTTGAAAATCATTTGATACTTCGTTTCATTAATTCGAATCAATGTATAAAATGATTTTATGATTATCTGTCAATTTGAATTAATGAAATAAAGTATCAAATGATTTTCAAATTTTCTAAAAAATTGCAGATTTGATCTATGCATTAAGAACTTTAAATTGAACGATTGAATCGTTAAAATTTGATGTAAAACATGAGTTATTGAACGGAGTAAGTCTAGGTAGACTTACTCCTAGAGTAAAAGGATCCCTCCTCTGTGTGTGTGTATATATATATATATATAGAGAGAGAGAGAGAGGGTTATAATTACACCGGTGTAACTTTTACTAAGTATTACATCGTTCAATAACTTTATATTAAATGTGAATTTTGTAAATCCAACCGTTAGATTGAAAGTTCATATCACTTTATACGTGTATATAAAATTTTGTTAAAATTGAACAATAACTTGAAGATAATCAAAGTGTTCATATTTTAGTGTATTTTGAAATGAATATATTACGTCAATTTTGTTTATTAAAATGAAGTATCAAGAGTCCACATCGAAATTCTTGAAGGCCAACGAAATTAGGCTTTATCAATTTCGGAACCATGGCTGTAATCCTCATCATCGTTGGTATTTTTATGGGTATTTCTCTAAAATAAATAAATAAAAAGTGAAATAAAAACTGGGGTGTTGCAGAGGCAAATACACCTGGTTTAGACCAAATAGAATAACAGCCAGTAGAATTGATAGATTCTTATGTATCTCATGAGTGGCTCACCCAATGGCCTCATTGCTCACAAAAAGCCCTTCAAAGGGATGTGTCAGATCATCGGCCAATTCTGCTAAAGGATATGAGGCTGGATTGGGGACCTAAACCCTTTAGGAGCCTTAATTGCTGGTTTGATGACCCCTCATTCTTAGGTTTTGTTGAGAAAAAATGGAAAGGATTCTTAGTAACTGGTTGGGGGGCATTCATACTCAAAGAAAAGCTTAAACACTTGAAAAAAAGCATCAAGGAATGGAACAAACAAGCATTTGGAAACATACACACAGAGATTAAGGAAGTAAAAAAGAAATATCAATAGCCTAGACTCAATGTCGCAACCCGAAAATTTCCGATCTTGCGACCTATGGTTTAAACATCCTTTTAAAAGTCTCATTAATTAAGGAATGCCCGGACACCAGACTAATCTTTAATTAATGGTTTTGAAGATAGGTTCATGGAGTCGCCACCAATATTTTACTTAAAACATTGGAAAAAGAAAAGGTTTTTAAAGATCAAATAATGGCCTTAATAACCAGAATTGGGTTCGGGAGTCGGTTACGTGTAAGGAAGGTATTAAGCACCCCTATAGCGCCCTCAATCGGTACCTTATGATGAAGTTAACATGATAAGAATTAATAAATTAAATATTGAATCCCCTTTATTAATATTTATTTACATATTGAAAAATTAAATTATACGAATAACCCTAAAATATCTACATGATTGCGTTTGTTATAAATAAAATATAGAGATAAAGATGATAAATAAAAGATATAGAAGAAGATTATTTGAAATACATCTTGAACGAGCTCTATTGAATCTTCAAATATGGAGAAGGTGCTTTATGGCAACCTTTCACACTACAATATGCCTCACAAATCTCAAGAAATACAAT